ATATATGTCATTCTATTTTTTTAGTTTATGATGAAATTATATATATTTTAAGTATAAACAGACACTTATTTACACAAAATACAATAGATTCCGCCTAGGCTTTGCCTAGCCGCCTAAGCGCTAGGCCCCAGCCCGCCGCCTGATTAGCATCTAGTATCTTTTAAAACCTTGGTTTCAGATGTATTAGGAGATGCTACGATGCATTTCAACCCTTTTTGGGCCAAGAATTGGTTAGGGAGTAAGGGTTTGGAGAGGGTGGTGCGGCAGAGAGATCTGGAGAATGGGTGATTTCAATTTTTTTTACTTTTCTTTAAATAATTTGATTTAAATGGAGGACAAGTAGGAAATGCAATATCGAAGTTCAAAATGACAAAAGGCTTCTTTTTTTTCTTTTTTTATATTTGATCCACTTTGTGGTTGTGAATATTATTAAAGGAAAACTAATGAAAATGGCTTGAAAACTTTGAGTTTTAATGATAAGGACAAAATAAAGGGTAAAGTGAATAGTACCAGGATTGACTTTTTAGTGTAAAAATGTGGTTTTTCGTTAAAGTGAACAGTACCAGGTGCTTTTCGTTAAAGTTCCCTATTATTAATTGTAAAAACATTTTTTTTTCCATTAATCAGGAATTTTTATCTTAAAAGTAATAATACTTGAATTCCTCTTATCCGATATAGTACCAAACACAGTATAAATAATACGGTCATTAGTCTGATACTACACCAAACACCCGACTAATTTAGTCAGTACTATCCGACAACTATTTATCTTATCTGACTGAAATAGTCAGTATAGTCCGAGCTGTCAAACAATGTCAAAGTTAAAGTTGATAGGACAAATAAATTAACTATTCCTAATTAAAGTCAAAGTTTCTAATTAAATAGAATCCCCTTGCATGTGGTTCAGTATAATAGTGGATATGGTGTTAGGTTTCTACCGATGCGCCTAGGGTTTGAAAATCTCCTCTCCTTAATTAATGTAATAGGTTGGACATTTTTACCAATGCGTTCATGATTCGAAAATCTTCTCTCCTTAATTAATGTACCCTTCCTTCCTCTTAATAACAGTAAAAAATTTATTTATAAATAAATAAAAATAATAATATAAAAAAAAGCCTGCCCATTGCAAGTTGTAATAGGAAGGGTCTTTGATTCGTATGGTTAGAGGAACAAGTTGTACACTTATTATTACCCTTGATATCCACAACCTCTCTTAGTCATGATACATACTAGTTCTCTTATGTTAGAGGATTTTCACCTATTTTGATAGATTAGCATCAAGGAGTGGAGAGATTTTTGTGTGAGGAATTCGGAGGTGGTGGATCATGAAAGTGGTTTGAGAGGGAGTGGAATTAATTTAGAATAGGTCGCTAGGATTGTGCCACATGTTCAATTTTACTTTTGATGAATAATGGTTTTGGTGTTTGTTTCTAGATTAAGAAATATTTTTTGGAGACACGAGACAAATTAAACTCATAGCTTTACTATCACAGAAGATGAATTTTTGCATTTTCACTTGGCGTGTTAGGAAATATTTTTAATTGTTTCCTCTTGATATTTTTTTTTCCTAGTTTCTAACGATTTGTTTTTAAATTTTTTTCTTTCGAAATAAATTGTGACCATTGAATTAAAGTGATCATTGGAGTCAAAATGTTAGAACTCTCCCATGTTTCATAGAACCGCGTTATTTGCATTGTTGACCGTTGCTATGGGCTCACGTGCTACTTCACAAGAGATTTTTTAGTGTGTTTGGTTTGTGTGGCCCCACTTTTGTGATGGCTTTTTGTGTTCCTCCTTGAATTTGTCACAACTGATCCATTGTGATGAATTTGCATCGACGGTTTTTGTGTTTTGTGTTGTTTGTGGTGGCCATGTTGGTGATTTATTTGTTGTGCCTTACTCTCTCCAGATCAAGAATTTAGTCACTAGAGAAATGCACCCAGCGGCAACCTTTTTGCAATCGTGTTTTAACTTTTAATGAAATACCATTATTGTTTCGGATAAAAAAATGTTTAAAGAAAGTTGAGATTCTATCATAAAACTAATCAATTTAGGAAGTAACCCAACTTACTTATCAACCTATACAAGATAATTTCTCTCATTAATATGTGATCCATTCTCAACACGCCTTATCATATTTGGTGAATTTTCAAGCTTTACATGTGAACAATACAAAGGAGTGACGCGGAGCACGTGTGACCGTTGAGCTTCATACGTGTGATAATCTGCTCTAATACCAAAAAAGCAGTTGGGTTCCACCATAAACCTAATTGGCAGGTAATATGAAGAGTAACTTATAAGCTCATGCAAGATCTCTTCTCCTATCAATATGAGATTCATTCTTAAATTTTGATAGGAAATTTTGAAAACTAACTAATTTATACCTCATATAGAATTATAACTATTAATTTAAATTTACAGTAATTATAACCAAAAGTTGATGTAAAAGTACAAATATACTCTTAGAATAGAAATTGAGAGATAAAAAGAAGGGAGTTTTAACGAAAAGCCCACGGTACTGTTCACTTTAACGAAAAACCATATTTTTACACTAAAAAGTCAAACCTGGTATTATTCACTTTACCTTTTATTTTGTCCTTATCATTAAAACTCAAAGTTTTCAAGCCATTTTCATTAGTTTTCCTTAAAAAGAATAGAGCTTGAAAACAGATTAAAAAAATTCAAATCAAATGTAAATTAAATTAAAAGTTGAAAAAATAAATACACGTAACCTAGCAGCTATCCTATCCCACTACTCAGTCCTCCACCGCCCGCCCACCCACCCCCGACCACCACACGTTGGCGGCTGCAGCCTTCTCTCACCACCTCACCCCCCACATTTGTGTGTACAGTAAACAATTCCTCCTCTAGCAATCTTATGTTTTGTTTTCAATTTTTTTATTTTCAAAGCTATGGGCTAATGGGTGTATGATCAATTTGAACTTTTTGGTTTTCATTAGTGTGATCAATTTGAACTTTTTGGTTTTCATTAGTGTGATTGATTTTCACGGTTGATGTGGACTTGCGTTTTATTCGTTGCAGAACTTTTACCCACCACCAGATCTTGAACCAGGGTGGGGTGGGGAGGGCAGGCTCTTCCGGATTCGAAGCGCCACCTGCGGGGTAGTGGTGGTGAGGGTGGGCGAATTGACAATGGAAGGGGATTTAACTGGCCAGTTATTGAGATTAATTTTAATACAAAATTATAATGTGTATTAAAGAGTATATTAATAATTTCATATTAATTTTTTATTATAATTATCGGAAATTGTTATTGGCACTCTAAAATTCTCAATCTATACTTTAAACTTTCTATATTTAGAAAGAAAAATACACTTATGAGAAGTGTAGAATAAGATTTTTGAAGTACCAATAACACTTTCCTAATTATCATAAACTTAAAATGATGGTTATAATTCTATATGAGGTCTAAATTAGGCTATTTGTCCACATTTCCCACTTTTGATAGGAAGTTGAGAAAGAGTTGGGTACGCTATAGTTTTAGTTCCAAAAACGGAAATAGATAAAGGGTTAGGTATGCTATAGCTCTATAAAGGGAGATTATATTCACACACCTTAAATTAATTTCCTCATATCTTTTTAACTTTTTAATATTCTTTTTAAATTTTTAATATTTTTTTATCAAGTGTTAGTGGTGTGTAGAAAATATTAAAAAATTAAAAGAACATAGAAGAAGTAATTTGGAATGTGTCAATATAATCTCTCATCTATTAAAGGGAAAGATGAAGAGAAACGGGGAGGCAGATTGTCTGCCCTCCTGTTTGGGTGTCATTCTCATCCCCTCCTATTTGTGCGGTCACGGTTAAGCCACGTCAAAATTTTATATTCTTATTATTTTTTGTCTTATTATCTCTATAATATATATATTATATATATATATATATATAAAATGTTGACGTGGCTTAACTGTGACCGCACAAAATATGAAGGGATGGGAAGGGCACCCAAACAGGAGAGCAGACAATCTGCCTCCGAGAAAAGGGCTTGCATTATTTTTTGCAAGCATTAAACTCTTGATACAAAATTAAAATGCTAGGGCTAGGAGGACCACATATCTTGTGCATGCTACCTTAGTCATGTGCTTAAACAACGGAGTAGGATTATCTCCTGTTTATACCATATTTAGGGCCTCGTATTTAGACCTCGTATAAATACTCGGGGGACTTAAATGTAATTATGTAATAAAGGAAGGGGTAAATATGTAAAAAGGGGAGAATCCCTTATTCTATAAAAGGGCCTCCTCACCCACACAAACTCTAAATCTCTCCTATCTAGAGCAAAGCTCTCACACTCTCTCCCTCACAAATACTCTCAAATAAATACATAATCAATGTAGACGTAACCCAAACCTTGGGGTGAACCACGATACATCTTGTGTCATTTACATTACTTGCAGATTCACGGTCAGATTTACGTTGTTCCAAGACCTCCGGTTTTGTGCATCAACATTTGGCGCCGTCTGTAGGAAACGACACGAAAAGCTATGTCGGTTCTCTTTCATTTTTTTCATCTCACCATTATGAAAACTTCACGATCTCCACCGTGAATCTACAGATAAATCAGATGCTGACCGACTTTAATCTCTCATTAACAACCACAGATCCAACATCAACGGCTCAGGTTGCTTCTGATCGGGACCCACCAGTCACCAACCATTCTGATAATCCCAACAAACCAAACTTTGGCATATCATCATGCATCCTACCAAGTTGTATAGTCCGGACCACACCATCACAACCCACGTTACAAATCCTCATCCTCATCATAACCATTCTGTTTTCCGCATAATATCCAAAAGCCTATCATGTCTGAAGAGAAGCACCATCGCGGTCTCTTCCACCACCACAAGGATGAAGACAAACCCTCAAACTACCCTCAGTCTGGCCACTTTGATGAAGGACATCCTAGTGGCCTCGGTGGTAGTTACGGTGACACCAATGATTATTCTGGTGAAGAACGTACCGGTGGCCTAGGTGGTGGCTACGACGACACCAATGCTTATTCTGAGTGAAGGACGTACCTGCGGCCTAGGTGGTGGCTACGGCGACACCAATGCTTATTCTGGTGAAGGACGTCCCGGCGGCTATAGTGGCTATAACGAGACCACTACTTACTCTGAGGAAAGAGTTGAAAAACCCGAAGGTGGCCGGTACAGTGAAACCACGGCGGCATATGGCAGCACCACCACTCATGAATCTGAACTTGATTACAAGAAGGAGGAGGAGCACCACAAGCATCTCAAGCACCTCGACAAAGTCGGTGTGGCTGCTGCCGGCGCTTTTACCTTGCATGAGAAGCACAATGAAAAGAAAGACCCAGAGCATGCCCACAGGCACAAGATAGAAGATGAGATTGTTGCAGCAGCTGCAGTTGGTTCGGGTGGATTTGCTTTCCATGAGCATCATGAGAAGAAAGAGACAAAGGAAGAAGAGGAAGAGGCTCATGGAAAGAAGAAGCATCACCACTTCTAGATCTATGTGGATTGTGGAACATCATCTTTTGACTACATATGCAATGTTGTGTTTTACTAGTTATCATGTGGTGTGATCACATGCCAACCCCATCGCCACTATCCAATATTCAGCAGGCAATCTCCTCCTCATCTGTCGACGCAAACGAGAGCTGCCGAGTGAGGTCTGGTGCTGAAGACGGACGAGAAGACCGGGAAGGCCCTCATCGGCGTCTGTGCTCACAACGATGAACTCGAGAATACCGCCTCAATTTGATGTCACGCATGCGCCAGGACGGTTATGGCTTCGATTTTGTCAACTACAGCTTGATCATTCAGTCCCTTACCCACTCCAACAAGATTGATTCTCCAATCACGTTCAAGCTCTACAGGGAGACTGAGTCCGAGAACATTGAGATTGATGACCAGCTCTTCTATCGTGTCGTTAAGATGTTAGAGGTTACTGACGTGGTTTCTATCACCGCTGCTCTTGCCAATGCTTCTATCGTGACGTGGCAGGCGAAACAGCCGCTCCTCAATTGAGCCGTTAAGATGTTCGAGGTTACTGACAGGCACCAAGTCTATCCTGTCTCAGCTACTTTGGTTCAACAAGTTTCTGGAAAGTAAAGGTGATACAATTCCCACTTCCAGATAGCCTTAACATGGCTAGCAGAAGATAAGACTTTATTGTTTTCTTTATGATTATTCCTCAATTGTTTTATGAATAGTGCTCCACTTTCCCCAAAAACCAACGGGAAAAGCCACGGGAATAAGAAGATAAGAGTCCCACAACAGCACTAGTATTGCAAAGCGTCTGATTTTCTAATAGTAACGTGGAGCTTGCCGTGCTCAGTATTAAAAAAAAATGAAAAACAGCGAAGAAGATGCCCCTATTTTCTGAGAAAGCAAAAGGGAAAAGAGAAAAGCAAAAGAAAAAGCAAAAGCAAAGAATAAACACCCCACCAAAATGATGTGGTTTACTTTCCTTATTTTTTAAATGATGTAATTTATTTTTCGTATCTTTCGAAGATATCTGTATAAACCCTATCAGAGGGTAATATGTATAAACCCCATCAGAGGGTAATTAAAAAAAATTAAAAAACAAAAAAAAAAGGGAAAAGCCCAAAATAAATGGGCTGGCATGTTGTTGAGGGCGAAGGCTCATAAGCCGAAATAGCACCAACCAGGTCATCAAAAGTACGCCCAGTACTCCACAATTATTCGACAACCTGCCGCTATTACCACCAACCAAGTGATCAAAAGTACGCCCAGTGCTCCACAATTATTCGGCAACCTGCCGCTATTACCACCAACCAAGTGATGAAATGTACAACCCGTACTTTAATATCATTTGGCAACTAGCCATCCATGCCACCAACCAGGTGATGAAATGTACAACCCGTACTCTAATATCATTTGGCAACTAGCCATTCATGCCACCAACCAGGTGATGAAATGTACAACCCGTACTCCCCTTCATGTCACCAACCAGGTTATCAAAAGTACGCCCAATACTCCAAAATTATACATGAGTATTACTCATGTCATTCATACATAAACATTCATGAGCATCACTCATGACAAACATACATAAACATTCATGACCATCATTCATGTCAACATTCATGAGCATCACTCATGTTAATCAACATAAACATTCATGAGTATCACTCATGTCAATCAACGTCAAAAGCTTCAAAAGCTTCATTTACAATAGCTGTAGCTTCAAAAGCTTAATTTACAGAGCTCCAGCTTCAAAGCTTCATTTGCAAAGCTTCAGTGCAAGGTATACAAATACCGCCTCCGAACAACCGCCACTTCGGCCCATACATGGATTCAATTTGAAGTCTCCAGCCAACAGACTCTGTTGATCGAAGACTTGGGGGACTACATTATGTACCATATATTGGGCCTCAACTGGGCCTCATGAAAAATACTTGGGGGACTTAGCCCATTACTTATGTATTGAGGAGCGAGCCCTTATTCTATAAAAGGGACTCCCTCACTTTAATTAGAGAGCACCCATTGTTCATGTACTGAGGAGCGAACCCTTATCTTATAAAAAGGACTCCCTCACCATCATTAGAGAGCAACGCCGCCAGCTGAGCAACCGCCTCACCGCGAGCATCACTCATAACCCATCACTTATGTATTGAGGAGCGAACCCTTATTCTATAAAAGGGACTCCCTCACCACCATTAGAGAGCATCGCCATGAGCATCAACTCTAGCCCATCATTTATGTATTGAGGAACGAGCCCTTATTCTATAAAAGGGACTCCTTCACCATCATTAGAGAGCATCAACTCTAACCCATCATCCATGTATTAAGGAGTGAGCCCTTATTCTATAAAAGGGACTCCCTCACCTTCAAACGCCACAAGCCGAGCCAACCAAGGCAAACATAAGCCACGAACCGAGCAGCCTCGCAACATGTGCTACTTCTAGTTGAGCATCATTTCAGATTGAGCACCGCCTTATATCGAGCATCAGTTCAAGACAACATCTAGTTACTTTGGCCCACACATGGACTGAATTTCAAGTCTCCAGCCAAAAGACTCTCTTAACTGAAGACTTGGGGGACTATTGTTTATACCATATTTAGGGCCTCGTATTTAGACCTCGTATAAATACTCGGGGGACTTAAATGTAATTATGTAATAAAGGAAGGGGCAAATATGTAAAAAGGGGAGGAGCCCTTATTCTATAAAAGGACCTCCTCACCCTCACAAACTCTAAGTCTCTCCTATCTAGAGCAAAGCTCTCACACTCTCTCCCTCACAAATACTCTCAAATAAATACATAATCAGTGTGGATGTAGCCCAAACCTTGGGGTGAACCACGATACATCTTGTGTCATTTACGTTACTTGCAGATTCACGGTCGGATTTACGTTGTTCCAAGACCTCCGGTTTTGTGCATTAACATCTCCCTTATTTTTTCCCCTTCCCTTCCCTCCCCTCCTATTTGAACAGTCACGGTTATGTTACGTCAACATCTTATATTAATTTTTTATAACAAGAGAAAGACAAAATAAGAAAATGTAAAAGGAGAGGATGGAAGGGAATTGAAAGAGAAGGGGAAAGAATCCTAGTCCTTAAACAACACAGCAAGTACTGAAAACTTGGGCAATGGTGGTCGATTCATCCCTAATTTAAAGTCGATTATGTTTGTGTCCTCTTTATGGGGTTTTACTTGTGTACGCACTTACAATTGATGTTTTTTTAATCATCTGAAGACTATAAGTAAAATTGTTCATTTTTTTTATTATCATCTAAAGATCATATTTGCAATAAATATTCAATTTTGAGTTCTTTTCTCCATTCATACACATAAAAACAAGTAAATGGTTCACATAATGATGTTATTTGTTACTAAAACCGTTAACACGTATGGATGACTAAACAATCTCCAAATCAAATGATTTTTTTGCACATCTGATCTTTAGATGATGACAAAGAGAATGAACGGTTCCGATTACAATGCTTGGACAGTAAAGATTCGTTAATCGTAAGAGAGAGAGAGAGAGAGAGATTATCTCCTCTCTAACTCTATTCCTATCCTACTCCCTCCTTTCCTCTCTCACTTTTCTTTTTGTCTTTCTTTCCCTATAAATAAATGAATACAAAATGTTATCGTGATTTAATCGCAATCGTTCAAATAGAAATTGACTAAAAGAATGGAAAATGGAACAAAAAAAATCCTACTTTAATTATAAATAGAAGAACACAAGTATTATCCTTTAAAATATTAATCAGGATCAATTTTTTGAAGGGTGTCCCACATGTCACCTGATGTTCGTAGGATCCCTTGATTCACTTTCATCAGGGAGGTGCCAAATACACGTTTCTAGGTTTGAAATAAAACCTAAGAAATTTAACAAACTCAAAAACATATAATTTGAATGAATTATATATTTCTTGTGTTTGCATGGATTTTTTTTTTCTCTCTTTTTGGAGTTCGTGAAAATTGTTTTTAGGTTACTCGATGTCTCAATGAACTTCAAAAATGTGTGAGTAAACCAAATTAAAGACACTAGATGATATGCAGAAGAAATAAAAATGAGACGCGAAAATCATCTCTCCTAACACCCTTGGCCGATCTGGAATCGAAAGAGGCACGACTATTCTCTTGCCATCGGCCAGCATACTGAATACATAAAAAATTATAAGAATGTGAAGACAAAGTTTCATATCGGTAAGAAACGAAATAATGCAAAGGCTTATAAGAAGTTGAACTACTAGTAGAATCACAAGTTCCTTCATGGAATCAAAGTCCCACATCAGTGGGGGATCAAACCACCATGCAAGTGCTTATAAGTAGTTAGGTTATTCCCTATATCGTCAACTGATCTTATGAATTTCAACTTTATTCATGGTATCAGATTAAATTGACCCACGTGTTAAACGCAAGATCCATAAGTGCTCCAAACCATTCAATTAGTATTGTCCATATGTTAGGCTTGAAAATCTATCACGTGAGGAGACTAATGAAAATGTAAGAATAAAGTTTCACATCGGTGAGGGATCTAACCATGCAAAAGATTATAACGAGTATTGATTTTAATATTAAAACTCCAACTTTCACCAAAATCAAGAGGAAAGAAAAACTTTGTCCTGAAACAAACTTGTGCAACATTTTTATGCCATGCAAGGCAAATGCAACTCAATATTTTTTTTGTATACGAACAATTCGGACATTGGAGCAGGGAGAACTTGATTAAACTCATTCCAGCTAATGCAACTTCACTTTTAATTTTTTATATTTATTTATTTATTAGAAGCTAGCACTAGTTGCCTGTTGAGTTCAAGAATATTGGATACGGAGCTCATCAAATATTTAGGTATCGACAATTAGAGAGGAATTAAGATGGAACCGAAAAGTCGAATGATGGCCTTACAAGTTGCCAGATTTCCAAGGTCAAACCGTATCACTGTAAAGCCAACCAAACAATTATTATCACAGTTCAGATAAACAAAAGAAAAATTATAACGAGACAAATTTCCAAAACTAAAATGTAAATAATTAGAAACCCAGATTATGC